TTGCAACAAAGAATTGAAATATATGGCGTGTGAGCTGTCTTAAGCAAGAAAGCGTAAACGTACATCGAGGAAAATAAAAAAGCTTGGAATTCGTTAGATGAAAGGTAATCAAATACGAGTGAACTAACTTTCGCTCATATTAAAAGATTTTTAAATCTCCCGAATACTCATAATGAATCCGCTACATCTTTGTTGAGCTTGGTTGATAAGGTAAATAAAATTATTAGTTTATTAGAAACTTCAGGCCAAAAAATTTATACTTTCAGTGACACTTTAATATTGTATTTAATGTTGCATTTTAGTTCCACTAAATTGTGGTGAGAGCGCCAATTGAATAATATAGCAATACCCAAACTCTCAAGGATTTAATTGAATTTTTGAAAAGCTATGCTAGAACTCTTCAAAACAGCAAAAGTTTGTCCAGTAAATTTAAAAAAATTATTAGTGCTAAAGTTAATTCTTTTGTTTCGCTTTCTATGTGTGTTTATTGTAAAAATAATATAAAAACATTTCGAAGTGTTAGAAATTTTGTAATTTACCCGTTCAGCAAAAGATTGCTTTCGTTAATAATAATAATGTTTGTTATAACTGTTTATCAGGAATTATCACTATAAAAAAAAATATATAAATCATCTAACGCCTGTTTTAAGCGTAATCGCAGACATCTCAGCCCTTTGCATAGAGATGAGAAACCGAAACCCTTTTTTTCCCTCTTAAAGTGCACTAGAATTTATTCCCGGAGATAAACAGCAATTAATGACGTCATCAGCCGCGCCTAATAATGAAGTTTCGTCTACAGTTTGTGCGAACTATTCGAATAGTGATTGGGATAATATAAATCAAAAGAATTATTCCGTTCCTAAATGCACAGCTATAGTGAAGGTTATAAATTCTCAAAACGAATGAATTGACTGTCGAATCCTTTTAAACTCTGGATCAGAGAAAAACTTTATTTCACGCGAATGTGTCAGAAAATTAAAATTAAATCCCGCTCAAATATTCAAATATCAATTTCTTGTTTAGGAAGTCATAATACTTCGAGTGAAGGGCAACATGATTTATTATTTTAGCCTCATTTTAGTAATAATTTAAGTCCACTTATGTAATCGATAAAATTTGCGGAAAAATATCGAACTCTTCCATGCCAATTGATTTGTCTAGAAAATATTAAGATCTCGTACAAGCTGACTCATATATTTTTGGAAATCGGGGGATATTGATATTCTATACGGTGTAAACAGTGGCGTAGTTTTGGGGAGGATTAGGGAGACAAAACCCCTTCCTAAATTATATATATTGGGTTGTTCGGAAAGTAATTTCGTTTTTTGGAGGGAAAATGAAAGACAATTTTCGTGTAATGAATAAATATTTCATTAAATTATTTATTGGTCATTCTGGTCCAACACCTTTTGCCATCTTTCTGGTAGTAGCATGATTCCCCGCTCATAAAAGTTCGGTCATTGCAGGCAAAAAACTGATCTAGGTGATTTTTGACCTCTTCATTTGAAGTAAGGGCTTCGCAGTCCAAAAAATTTTGTAGTGACCGGAACAAATAATAATCGGAAGGCGCCAGATTTGGAGAATATGGTGGGTGTAGCAGTGTATCCCATTCAAGCTGTAAAAGCTTTTGGCGAGTGACCAAACTTGCATGAGGTCTTGCACTATCTTGGTGGAACACTATACCTTTTCTTTTGATTAATTCTGGCCTTTTCGGTTCAAGAGCATCATTCAGTTTGTCCAGCTAACGACAGTAGACTTCCGAATTAAGTGTTGTGTTATCCGGAAAAAACTAAAAAAAAAAAAACTATACCTTTAAAATCTCACCAACTAAACAGCATCACCTTTTTTTGATGGATATTGGCTTTCGAAATGCTTTGAGCCGGTTCATCTTTTTTGTTACATGATCTCTTGAGTTGGACATTGTTATAGACAACCCATTTTTCGTCCCCAGTAATGACGCGCTTCAAAAATGGATCATTTTCATGACGTTTGAGAAGCGAATCACTGACGTCAACGCGACGACACAAATTTCTCTCCGTGAGAACATGGAGAACCCATATATCGAGCTTCGAGGTTAAACCCAAGCCTTTCAAGTGATCATTAACAGTTGAATTCAATAAATTGAACCTCTCACCGATCTCACGTGCTGCTATTCGCCGATTTGCATCAACTAATACCTTTATCGTGTCTTTATCAGCTTTAGCGGGCCTTCCAGAATGTGGTGCATCTTCGACATCAAAATTGCCGGATCAAAATTTTGCAAATCAATTCTGGCACTGGCGTACAGTCAACACATCTTACTCTTACGCATCGGTAAATTTCTTTCTGGCATGAACAACATTGTTACCTTTTCTATAGTAAAAAAGCGAAATATGACGAAAATTCTGTTTATTGCTTTTCATATTTAAAAGGGCACCACCCAAAAACTGCTGCGTAGAATTAATTGAACTTTTTCACACACAAGCCTTTCTATATCAGCTCTCAAAAAATATAATGATAATTCTGCTTAAGTGTGAAGCTGCGTTCGAAAAAATACTATTAAATCCTCTGTCGGGAAAACAAAATTACTTTCCGAACAACCCTATATCACTTGATTAATGAACTATTGTACGGTAAGTAATGAACTACTGTATGGATCTAGATATACGTAATTTTTCGTAATCCATTTTTTGTAATTTAAGCGTTTATTGTTGTTGCTGTCGGCCATTAAGGCAGAAGGGGTGCGATTATTCTCGTTTTCCAGTGGTGCCATCTATGGCTAAGAATTCGACTTTTTCCACACTCATACGTTACATCCGTTTATAGGGCCAGATAAAGATCCTTCTTCAGCTCAATACCACCAGAGGCATTGATTTGCTATGGGAACATGGAGGACTTTGTGACCCGACAGATTTAACGAGCACCAGTCACCGCTTATTACACGGAGAGTCTTCGGCCAGCTGGATTCGAATTCCCGTTCTCACAAACGTGAGTCCAGCCTCCTACCAACCAGGATATCCCGGCCTATTAAAACGTTTAGAATATATCTGTTGGAAGGAGGTAATCGAAAACCCCCTCGAACTTGCATTAAAACTACGTCACTGGGTGTAGTAAATGTATTCTTGACATTAATTAAAGTAATAAAACGCTACGAAAATCTCCCTTTCGCAGTATGCTCTAAACTAAGATTTCCGGAGCAACTATTTTTGAATGCACTAACAGTTCAATAATTTTAGTGTTAGTACTGATGAGTTAGTTAGAATATTTCTTTAACAGGAACAACACAACCTCTAACAAAGCTTTTGTCGAACACATTTCGTGGAAAATGTTATGCGTAAGGTATTCCGCCAGACTCCCGTTTAAACCTACTATGGAGAATTTCGGCAATTCAAAAGCCTCCGCTTTTAAACTGCTTTTTAGTCTAGAAAGATGCAGCATAAAATGAGCACTATTTTATCCCGCAGCATCACGTAATTAATGATTCTAGTCCGTCCAACCACAAAATTGAGGGTTATTTACAACGCCATTGCAAAAACTACAACAGGTTTATCACCGAATGATACGCTAATGAACGGTCCAAAAGTACAAGACGATCTTTCCGCTCCTCTTCTAAGGTTTAGATGTTACAATATCGCGATAGCATGTGATTTGCAAAAAATATATCGACAAGTAGAGATTCATAGTAAAGATCGGAATTTTCAAAAAAATTCTATGGAGAGATGATCCCATGAAACTAGTCAGGGATCAACAATATTTCAATGCTGGACCGCATGTTGCCCGCACTGTCCTGACATTCCTTGACACAGAACATGTTCGCCTGTTGCCCTGGTCAGCACATTCTCCTGATCACTAACAAAATTGAAAACGTCTGGTCAACGGTTGTCGAACGACTGGCACGCCACCACTCGTCAGTTACTACGGTCGATGAATTGTGGCATAATGTTGAAGCTGCATGGAATGCTGTACCCGTCCATGCTATCCAATCTCTGTTCGACTCGATGCCCAGAGGAATAAATGCTGTTGTTGCTGCCAGGGGAAGCTGCTCTGAGTATTGATTCCTCAGGATCTTATACATCCAAATATCTTGAAAATTTAATCACTTGTTCTTCCAACTATAATGTATGTGTCCAATATATATCATTCTGTTATTTGAATTCCTTCCTGGTGTAGCAATTTTAATGGCCAGCAGTGTATATAAGTTAGCGATTACAGAATCTAAATTAGTGTAATTTTAAGGTGTATATACCACCTAATTATATATAGGTATGCAACACAAATAAAATTATGTATGAATTTACTAATAAGTATACAAAAAATAACCCAATTAAATAAATTTAAAATAAGAATTATGCAATACTGAAACTTTATACTTGATTATAAAATTTAATTGATTATACTTAAATCAATGTTCGAGTGTTTTGTTAAATTAGAACCAACCCGTATTGCTTTTCTATCATCCTGCATTTAAGCCACCAAAAAATTTTGCTTGCAGCATTTGCATTTCAGATTTTAGTTATATTTTTAAGTTTCAGAATAACTTGTTGGAAGGGGTTAGATGAGATTTCTCTACTTTTATTCATTTTTTCCCCTTCTATCATTTTTTTAAAAATTTATTGTTTTTAGAATTATTTAAAGAGTAGAAAAAAATTTCTTAGATTAGTAGTAAAGAACAAAATTTCATAACTCTTGGTAGTTAAAGGAAGGGAGGGAAACTTACAGACTATTATGGTAATTATTTAAAAACGTAATTCTTATTACTTAACTCTTAGAGGGACAGGAATTTAAAAAAAAAAAAAAAAAAAAAACACCAGAATTCTCAAAATTATTTAACTGAACAATTTATTGAAATGAATATTTACTTTGCGGTTAGCTTTGTTCAAAGAGTTAATCTTAAGACCCTAATCTTAAATATGAAATCGTAATAATTGGCACCTCTGTAGTAAAATAGGTATTAACAAACCTAAACATTAATGCAGTTGATAAAACAATAATGAAACTTATAATAGTATAACATAACTTACACATGCTCTTGTTGAATTAAACATGATCAAAAATCCATTTAGTCAATGTCCTAAATTTAAGGATCTATGGCATTATTCGAAGGCATTATCTAAAATTAAAAAAAAAAAAAATGTAAACAATTTTGCAGAAAGAAGGAATATAGGAAAAGCAAAAAAATAGCATAGCTCAGAGGTGAGGAACCTTGTGCTAGCTTTTGTATAAATATCTAATAATATAGATTACAATAATTTGAAAATTGATAGACCTGTTGCCATCCAGTGAGAGTAACATAAATTTAAAATGCTGCAGTGGTTGTAGTTCTATAGTTTGTCTAAAGCAGTGGTTCCCAACCTTTTGTGGACCATCGCCTCCCCCCTCTTGGGGTTGGCTGACACATATCGCCCCTTTCTTTTTTTGCTCAAAAAACCATTCATTGTTGCTTGTGAGCAACCAAACAATGAAAATATGCTATGTTATTTGATTTTAATTTAAATTGTAATGCAAATAAGGAGGCACATTTATCCTGTCATTTTTATTAATTAAAAAAAAATNGCAAATTTACCTTCTTTCAGAAATTTGATGAGTTTTGATTCAACGTCGGCGGCCATCTCATCAATACGCCTGGAAACAGTATTATTGCTCAGAGGAACAGAGTGACTTATCAGATTTCCGCCTGCGATACCAAAACGTATGACGAAAACGATCTTGCACTTGAATTTTTTTAAATTTTTAACTATCATAATTCTTTGTCTACACCAGAACCATAGGTTTCATATATATTTTCAATTTCAATCTCAAATAGCTTTTATTATTATTATTAGCAATTATTATCTTTTGAATACTCGTCGCCCCCTGATCGCCCCCCTAAGTATTATCGCCCCCTTGAGAAGCTCTATCGCCCCCAGGTTGGGAACCACTGGTCTAAAGTAAGAGCTCCCTTAGCCATTCGTCTGAATCCGTGGCGGTGACTATGGTAACAAGGTATAACTATTTCAAGTAGGGGTGTGGGGTCGGCGAGAGAAAGGGATTCTTTCTCTCCTGTCTATTGTGTTAGCCCTAGAGTGAAGAGAAGCGACCCCTCTCTGAAATGCGCTATTCTTGTTTCCATAGCAGCAGATGGCCTCAGACTTTGTGGCGGGGGAGTTCTTACAACAGACAAACTATAGTAGTCTTCCCTAGTCTGAAATTATTGCCATTCTGGGGTAGTTTTCAGCTGTCCAACATTCATCCTTATGTTTTGTTCTGATTTTATAGCTATGAGTCACCCCTACTTAAAATACACCAACCCTATTGCTGTAACAACCGACATCCACAACGAGCAGTGACGGTGGCTGTTCTGAGAGACAGACAGTACCTAATTTTTCTTTATCTGCCTAGCATTCCTCAGCATTCCCGTCTATGTTGTGGAGCTGGTGATTTGTAGAACCTGTGCATGCTTTTAACAGTCTCTTCTCATATTGGCAGTTTAGCCATTGTGAAAATCTAGTTATTGTTTAACTAATACATGGTGTTATCGCCTTTTTAGTAAATATACACTTTCTTAAAGATAATTTTCAATAGTGATTTTTTTCCACATTGTCAAATTTTAAGACAAGAAAAATAATAAGGAAACAGAACATTTAATGAATAGAATTACTTCCTTATTTCTGTGAAATTATATGTTGATTGTGTATTGCAGTTTTGATTACTTTGGCAAAATGTGTTTGGCAAATAAATAAATGTGTTTTACAAAATGCTTGGCAAATAAACACTATTTGACTCATAAATTTTATAATTTAGAAGGTGAATTCATTGAAAAATACATTAAAAATTATTTAATAATAACATTATAATAAGTTAATAGCCTTCTGTGGATAAAAAAATATTTCATAGTGTTAATTTTTATTTTAATAAATGACTTAATGTTTTTTTTTACATAATTTTTATATAATTCAATAAAGTAATAAATCTATATAAAATCAATAATTTCACAAATATTGCATTTACAGGTATATTAAGTTTTTCCTTTATTTAGCTCTTTATTTGCCTTTATTTAATTTAAACGTGGTCTTTCAAGGTAGGTGGGTACTTTACTAACTTCACACTAGAGTTGCACAATGGGCTCTACAGAAGGGGTAGCACCCCCGCTTCGGTAGCAAGTCGAGTACTTTAAGGTAGAACAGTTTAACGAGGGCACTATGCATGCTGATCAAAGTGGTCACCCACCCGCTTACTCACTGCAACCAGTGATGCTTGACTTCGTTGTTCTACTGGGAACCGTGTCTTTATGATCAGTCCACTGCGGGACGGTCTCTCAAGGTAAATGGTTCCCCACCTCGGGATTAGCAATGCATTACATATTACAGAGGCAATACAAATCACATTATACATTCACTTCAAAAAATAACCAACATAATGAGGAAAATATTACATAATATTTCAAATAAACAATATGTCCTGCGGACGATACATGATTTAAATTATTATTTCAAATTTAATTTTTTATTCATAATAAGTAACTTAGTTTTACACAATTTTCTACAGTAAATATCAATTTTAAAATGTATAAGTGCCCTTTCCTGCGAGTAAGCGCGCTGCTCATTTTTATTCCTAGAGAGAAGAAAAATTATTAAAATAAAAAAATATTAAAAAGCTGGAATAATGAAAAGATACCGTCATCAGCTCACATGATTAGATTCGCAAAAAGGAGAAGTATTAAAAGAACAAAACAATGGATACCCAAAATATATTATAGAAAAAATCATTGAATTAATTGTATGTTATTATCACTAATTTCTTTGTTAACTAAATTTATATCTTTACCATGGGCAAAATCCATAGCTAGAAATCTGTGAAAAGTGGGCAAATCTTGTATTTCTTTTTTTTATATATATAAATATTAATAATTTTCTAAAATATTGTACATATCAACCTAATAAATATACCTAAAATATTGTACATATAAAATATTGTACATAGCTAAATATCAACCTTATAAATTATAAACTTCAAATTATAATATTATTACCTTGCGCACATCTATTTTCGAGTCAATTAATGGTAACTAAGAAATCCTTGGTTCAGTACTGCAGAAAGAACATGGCATTCATAAGATTCACGCTTCTAATTTCATAATTTGTAATCTGGCAAACTTATTTTATTATGAAAATATTTTAAACCATTCTTGAAAGATTCTGGAATGTGTAAATTCATTTGAATTCGCTACTCGCTTTATAGATTTCTTTTTGTATTTTATTCTGTACTTTTCTTGCAATTTAATTTGAATATTTTTTACTTAATATATCCTGTTTTCGTTTAATTTTTTTTTTTGGTGGTCCTAACACTATTGTATTGGTATATTTTGCCATGGTTATATTAATTCAATATTAGAAAACACTGCTTCTCGCGGATATAATGGTGTGAGCTGATGATGAGATTATATCTTTTCATTATTTTGTTTTCCAGCTTTAATGCTTTTTTTTTTCTTTCCTAAATTTTTTTTACAAAAATATTTTATTTTGTAAAGCTTTCTTCTCCACTTTTCGTTGATCTTTATATTATTATTTTTCATGTTTTCTCTATCAGGGTGCGTAGTCAGATTTTTCAACATAAAATAAGCATCTATTTAACTATTTAAGCACTCAATAAATATTTTTAATCACTTTCAAAAAAAAAAAAAAAACATAATTAGGATCTGTACAGTAATAATTTTTTTTTGTCCATTGTTTAAAGTTCTTAATTTAAAAACATAAAAATCAATAAAATTCAAAAAATTTTCAACACTTTACAAAATTATGATAAAAGAACTAGTTTCATATCAATGTTGCGGAGAAAATTGTGAAAAAACATGCAATAAGAGTCCCTCCTAAGAAGGTAAGAAAAGTAAAAACAAAAAACTTGTAAACAAATTTTTTTTACAATTCGAAAGGTAAGATCAACTGCGAGCTGGTAGAATAATTCCTGCAATTTATCATTTAAAACTCCTTCAGAAACTTTGGCAGTTTATGTGTAGTTGTACAATCCTGAGTAGAAAACTATTAAACAAGGACTCTGTTATGGAAAATGTTTTATCAAACATTTCCATAACAGAGTGATATGGAAATGTTAAACAAATTCAAGCCCTATTTTTAACCAGAACAATTTTAGATTTGAGTAGTGCATACAGTTCCAGTCAACAAAAAATATTTAAAAATTCATACTTTATTTTTTGCAAAGTTTGTCTTAAATAATTAAATACATTCTAGCAAATAAACATGCCATTTGCCTCAGAAAATCATAAAAAAGGATTTTATATGAGTTCATAAAATATAGTTATATAAAGAGTTCAATAAATAAATATGTAAAACTATATAAGATAAAAACAAGGAGCAGATCGAACTTGTAATACCCAACAATTAGTGGAAAAACCTACTCTTCCTGAACTATTTATAAACTGGAGTTGATTTATTCAAGGTTTATGACAAAACTCTGAGTAACATTTATCAGCTTTTACAGGATGTGGTTAATGGGGGGGAAAAAAGTTTTTTTTCCATTAACTTTTTGATAATGAATGACTGAATATAAATAAATAAAAAATATCAACTTCTAGTTCAATGTGTCACAGCTGAACTCCTCAAACATTTATGAGTCTCGTTTCTTAATACGTAAACATGCATCAATATTACTACAAATTAGTTGATATTGCACATCAGATGATTACTCATATACATGGGTTATTAAAAATGATATTCAAAATTAAGAGTTTTTATCAATAATTATCAAATTTTTGTATTTATGCATTTTATGCCATAGCATAATCCATGTATTTAAATAATTAGGGGAAGATTTTGGACATCCTAATCTGTTTTATGAACAGGTTTAAATGTCTTCAAGTGTCTATAACTTTAAATTTTAGAAAAAAAGTAAACATTTAGCTTGCATAAAAAATTTATTAAAATATTATTAATATTATTAAAATAGTAATTAATGTTAGTAAATAATTATTAAAAACATTAATTATTTTTCAAATATTAAAAAATGTATTAAAATATAATTACATAAATTTTTGTAATACTCATTGAGATTCTCTGCTATATTAAACAAAAATACCAATGTCTTATTGCTTTTAAATTTCTTTCTATATTGTTGTATTATATTTAAATATTTCATTTACACATCTATAAATATGAAGGAAAATTAGATATTTTTAAGAGTCTATTAATATCAATAAAACATAGCTTAAAAATATTGTTAAATTTAAAATAATATTGAATAAATGTTTAACTATTATTAAATATTTAAAATCAGAGGTCTGTCCAGGCCAAATTTACTATAGTTTAGTGGTACCTTCACAAATTTAACTTTAGGAAATTTCACAAAAAACTTTTTCTTAAAATTTAATTTTCGTATCCCGTAATAAACAATAAATCCATATTTTTTATGCTGATTTTTTAATATAATTTTTAATTTTCACAAATTATGTCTAAATTTTCATAAAATAGGTACCTACCTCTCAGAAAAACCTAGACAGAAAATAATTGATAATTTAAAATCATAAAATTTCCTCATATTTTTTAAGATTTGACAAACAAGTTCAATATTTAAGTTTCAACACAATAAAATACAATAGGGAATATGATTTAAAAACATCTGTTTTCAATCAAATTATTTTCTCTTGAATTCGCATAAAAAATTGATTTAAAATATGGATTTAGATTTTTATTCATACATATTTTCAGAATATTATTTTAATATTTAAATAGATCTTTAATTTTCTCTTTTCAATTGCGATAGCCCTGTATTTCAAGGGCATCTCACCAAGGAATTTGCCATAGACTCCTCTGCATACTATAACAGTTTAAACTTACTGACCTAAGTATTGACAATTAGTAAATGCTTAAAAAAAATTAAGCTAAGAAGTTTTTCAATAGTAAATATTGGCACATGAATTGCTTAATTCCGCATTGTTTGATTTCATACTTTCACAGGATTAAGGAATAGGTAGATAAATATGAATGTGAAGTGTGTGTATAAAATATGTACCACACCTTTAGATGAGGATCAGGTATTAATCCCTGCCTTGGATAAATACCCAAAATCATGGTTTTTATATTTTTTTTGTTATTTTTAAATCATAAAAATATGATTTGTCTTGGTGATAGTTCTGAGAAAAACATAACTATTTTTACTTTTCAAAAATAAACTTTAAACTTAAAATATATCAGTTTCTGAAAAAAAATATTTAAAAAAACTATCAATGCAAAGAGGAGAAGCTACATTGTTGCATTAAAAAAGTAATGTAAAAAGGTTTGCATTTTGTAATATAATAAAGTAGGAACTATATTAATTTATTTAAGTTCTAGGTTGCACATTTTTCAAGAAGAAATAATTTTCCCAATGCAATGGGATAAACTGGATTAAATAGAAGAGATTCTAAATTAGCAGAGAGAATATGTTTAGAATTTGTTAAAACTAAGTTTTTAACTGTTTCCCCCCCCCCATTTATATAGAGTTTATAAATTTAATATTAGTAATAAACTAAAACTATAAACTTAAAATTTAAATTTTAAAAGAAATTTATTCGCCAAACTATTTNTTGTTAAAACTAAGTTTTCAACTGTTTCCCCCCCCCCTTTATATAGAGTTTATAAGTTTAATATTAGTAATAAACTAAAACTATAAACTTAACATTTAAATTTTAAAAGAAATTTATTCGCCAAACTATTTCGTTTAAACCAAATATGTCTTTTTTTAAGAAAATATAATTAGTTTAAAAGATATTTTGTCTAAACAGTTTTTATTTTTCTGTATTGAATCTATTTTATCAAAAATAATAAAAATTATTTCATTTTTAAAAGTCAGTCATACTTGAGAAATTTCAAAATTACATTTTAGTCAAAAGAAGTAATGAATTATTTAATGTAGTTTTTATATTATTGAGCTATTCTTCAAACTATGAGCTAACGCTGCTTCATCTTAAAAATACAAGACAGTTCAGACATTTAAACAAAAGGTATACTCAATGTAGCCTTAACTTTTAAAGTGTTATTTACTGTTTTCTATTCTATATAAAAAGCATATATTGATATGCTTTTATATAGAATGCCCAGTTATATATTGAGTATCAATATATTGTTCCTAGTTGCTGTGCCGTTCTAAAATTGTTCCATGTTTTTAATTAAATTTAACATATTAAATTTTGATTAAATATTTCTTTAAATTAAAATAATCTTGTGATTTGCTTAAAAATACATCTTGTAATCAGTAATATGAAACATTTTATGAATTTCTGGAGATAAGTTTTGACAACACAAGTCTGGAGAAAAGTTTTGACAATACATATAAATTTGACTTTAGTTGATTATATTTTAGTTTGATTTTATTTCTCTAATTATCTATATAAAAAAAGGAAGAAAAAAACATTATTAATGATAAAACTATCAAGTCTTATTCTAAACTCATACCAATTAGGTGAGAAAGATATTTAATGCAAAATAAATTTATTTTAATTGCTATTTATTTGCATGATTTTGTTATATGAATTTTCAATTTATGTGGACTAATTAGACTGAGATTTATAACATTTAATTTATGAATTTTTTTGTCCAATTGAAAACTATCAATGTTATATATTTAACTAACAAAAAATTTAATAAATACTCTTTTTTTTCATTCATTATTAAAATTCTGCTTATGAATAGAATGATAAAACTAAATATATATTTTATTTATTTAATGTACGAAACGAAACATATAAATTATTGCTTAGAGCTGTTTAATTTTAAAAAAGGTAAAAAAGTAGTTTTTTCTCATAGGGAAAGATTTTTCTTATAGGAAAAGAAGCTTCCCAATCACATCTAAACTTAGAACTACAAAAATGAAACACTCAAGCTAGCATATATTTTATGCCCCTTTGAAAACATACTAATATGGGGGATATTTCCGTATCGCGATCTGCCACACCAGCTACAATCGTCAATGCGCCAAATTATTTTAAAGGGGAGAAAGTAAAAAAAAATGTAGAGGTTTGCTAGGGGGTGGCTATGAGTTATACCCTTTGAGTTGATCCCTTTCTGTGAAGTTTTTTTTTTTTAGTTTCTTGCGAGCCGCTGTCCAGAAGTTGCCAAGATATAGCTATTATTCTGCCTTCTGCCACAGATCACAATACGGAAATCTCCCCACTAACATTATGCCATATTTCTTAATCCATTAATAATAATGAAATAAAAACTAAGAAATTTTTACAGCCAATTTAATGCAGTGGACATTATTATTATTCATAAGATATCATCACATTACATTTAGATAAGTATCAAATAAAGAATTATGCACTATTCATGTTCGGGAAAAGTTTTGATTGATAAACTTTTAAAAATAAATTACATAAACTTATAATTAATTTTTGCATTTAAAAAACATATTTCTGGCAAAATTCACCTTGTTTAGATGTTACTTTTAAAATCACAAATATTGGAAGTTATGATAAGAAATTAAATTCAAAGATGGATAAAAAATAAAAATAATTCATACGTTCAATTGAATAAATTTTTCTTCATAGTAAATGACAAATTAATTATTGACAATATAAGTAAAAATTAATTGTGTGTAAAATATATATAATTTTGTACAGATAAAAAAAATAACCATTAAATTTTAAATAAAATTGATAAATACTGAGGTATTTTCTGTATTTACCCAGGAAATTATCCAAAGGTATTTTACATCTATCTATAATCACACATCACATCTAAAACTTGTATAATAATATACCTCTGTTTACATATCCTAAATCAGATCATTCTACAAAATTGTGAATTTATATTCAACATGCATTTAACTATTTACAATGTATCTATAAATCTAATTAATTAAATGCTATATAACTGTTAGTTAAAAAAGTAATAAAGATAAAGTAAAGAAATGTACAGAAGTTATAACAAGAAAATACCTATATTTATTTGATTAACATCAGATGTATTCTCCCCCCCCCCACAAGCGAAAACTATTAAGAAAAGCAAGGGTGCATAGATTTAAATTTTATATACATTTAGACCATCAAATAATGAGGAATTGCTAAAAAAAAAAACTTTATATTTAGCTTAATCACATGACGAAAAGAAACACATTAAATAAATTGATCGTATTGAGTAAATTATTAATATCAAACAAACTTCTTCTTAAAATATTTTGATCACATCTGTCTTTAATAACATATTTTGACAAGTAAAGTGAAATTCAATATAAGTATAGACTAAACTCCGACAATCCATCGGATAAACAATTTAAGATCACTTAAAAAAGAAAACTCCTAATTAACTGTAAGAAAATCATCTCTAGAAATTATATACTTCTTTGAGAAAAAAGAGAAGCTGCAAGTAAAATATGTAATATTTTGCAGAAGCAGTATATATCAATTATATCTACAAATCATAAAAATATGAGCTGCTTCACACATTATTGATGCTTTATAAAAAATGAAAACATCAAAGGTAAAAAGATTAATTATTTACCTATTAATAGTATATCGCCAACGAGGATATTCCATTTAGAAATCTCTCTCACAAACAATAACACATCCCACTTAACAAATAAACACTAGCCTATTAATGATGAATCAATTCCATTCAGCATCACAAATTATCCATTATCAAGTGGGTTTGGTTGGGAGGAAAATATTAAAAGGGAAAAATCTCTTCGCCTGAATTCTCTGATAGGTTAAAAAAAATCCCTAAAGCTACTCAGTGACGAGGCTAGAATGAAGCTTGTAAGCTATAAGCTACAAATGTTATTTAGCATAATATATTGAAAATGTTATACAGTGCAAAACAACTGGTACCGAACTTGAACTATGGAAATTTATAAATGATTTAATAATTGTTTTTATATTGATTTATTCTCCAGATATTAATTTATAAATAAATGCAATAGTTACTTTTTCATGTTTTCTTACGAAATGTTCGTTTGACAGATTTTTGAGTTACAATTTGTCAAAATGAATAACAAATTGCAATTTCTAAAACCAGGTACACTTTCAATAAAAGGAAGACAAAAACTGTACTGATCTATTTTATTTTACCATTTCAGGTTTTATAATGTAGGCATTTAAGTATTTTGAGTGACAAGATTCCATATCATTTAATATTTATTTTAATTTTATAAGTGGATAGTAATTGGAAACATGAATTACTAGGATATTACAGTTCTTATTACAACGATGCTATTTCCGTATTAATACCTGTTCGTGCTTGCTACAAATGTAAAGGTGCCAAAGGGCTTGCTTAAAATTGCAACTAATTTCTTATAATGTAATTAAAAAAATTGAGACTGCTAGTTATACCCCAAGAGTTTGTCCCTTTTCAGAGAAGTTTTTCTGTCCCTCGCAAGCCAATGATCGGCTGCTAAAACTGATCGGATTATTTTGACTTGCAGACTGACATTAAAATCTTTTTAATTCTACCAGTGAATAAATATTTCCTTGATGTAAATTTCAAAACTAATCTAAATTAGTTTATATTTGTCAACAAAAATAGTTTATTTGTTTTAGTGGGGAGAAAATTAAAGGATTTCTTTTTACATTGCAAATAATTAAACTTTTATGTAAATATAAGCGGAAAAAAAAGCATATGTTTGTGTTTCAGTTCACTTTTTGAAAACACATCTAACGACACAGGTTTAATTTCAGTTACTATTGGTTTTTTCATTGAAGTCAAATTTGTGATTGTTCATACAATACATACATAGCGTGAAATTTATCTTAGTGATATTTATATTCATTTTAATCCGGAGATACCAAATGTCATCACATCATGATTTCTGAGATTTAAATTGTTATGATGGTAAAACTTAGTTAGATAATTTGTCAATGTTTTGTTTGGTAATATTAAAAAAAATTTCTCATTGCAATATTTGAGCCTTTTCTTTTTAAATTTTTTTTTTTTAAAATCCTTGTGTGAGTGTTTTTTTATCTTTGTTTTTATATGTTTTTCCAAATATATTCAAAAATAATTTTGCTATAGCAAAATTTTGAGCTTAAAATTGTATGCAAATTTAAAAATCATTGTCCATTGTAAAATTTCAACGCAAATTTTTTTAAAAACATGCATTTAATAGTACTTACACTGAAAGTTATTTTCATTATGAGAACATTTCCCACGAGGTCATATCGAAAAAAAAAAGTCACAGAGAAAAAAAAATAAAGGTCTGTTAAAATAAATTTAGAACAATTTTCGAATGTTTAGAATATGTTCGAATTTTAACTTCCTGTAAATTTACAGAGGGAAGGCATTTAATTTTTAAAAAAAAGCTCTGCAAAAAAAAAAGAACTCTCTATAATATGCTGTAAGGGACCGGTTAGACTTAGCATACCGCACTATCTGACCAAGCATGTGCTACCTATTCGTATATGCAGAATTAAACAAAACATTTTCGTTTCTTACGGGGATACAAAAACGAAATTTTTGGGAGGTGGGGAGGAGAATCTTAGAACTTGCTTTTCTAGAAGTATTTTGTGTTTCTAAAAGTATCTACCGTTTTCCCTCAAGTTGAATTTGTGAAGGTACGGCTAAACGGTGGTAAATTTGCCCTCGACAAACCCCTGCTTATTATCATTTGATGAAGTTATTTTTATTTATTTATTTTGTAATGGATTTCTGTTTATTGTTAACAATGTCTTTCAGGCACTATTTCATCAGAGATTGTTCAAGAACGAAAGGATATCAATGAAACAGACCAACCTGCTTTCTATAATCATGATTTTCATCTGTCTGTTGATCAACAAAGACAAAGACTTCCAATTCATAAAGTACAAATATTTCTTTGCGTAATTACTTGATTATTCAGGATTGCCACTCCACAGGGAAAACCTGGAAAATGCAGGGAATTTAAAAATCACCTAAAATGACAGGGGAAATACAGGGAATTTTGTTTCTTATTTTCGTCTTTTAAAAAATGGCAACCACTCAAAGCACAATCTATGGGATATATAAGGATGATATTTCAGCTATATTAAACTTGTTCACTAGTTCTAATTACTATAGCATTATTTGTTTTAAGTATCTTCAACTGTTCCTTCTTTCTCCAAGTTTTTTCAGCAATTATAACTAGTATAAGGGGTCTGTTTAGAAGAAATTTGGATTCGTTAACGGACCCTTCACAAAATATCTTTTCATAAAAACGGACCCTTCACAAAATATTTTAACTTAAAAACAGACCCTTCACAAAATATTTTTACTTAAAAACGGACCCTTCACAAAATGATTTTTCTTTTAATCGGACCCTTCACAAATTTGTTTATCTTCATTATTATTTTGTTAATCGAATAAACCCTTTCCAGGGCAGAAAACAAGAAAGATGGATGTAAACGAATTAAGTTTTGTCTTCGGCAGACGATTCTTCCATTATTCGTCCGAAATGAATATTCTGCGTTCAGCAGTATAGGCTAAATACCAAATATTTGTATGTTGCATCTCTAATTTAGAAGCAGCAATTGTTGTTTATTTTTTAAAATTTAATTTTTTTAATTACAATTTTACAGTGTTGAGCATAATCTTGTATGTCTATACAATTTAAAAACTCCTTGAAAAATTTTTTTTTTGCAATAACGGACCCTATTTGCACAAATTCATAAAAGCGGACCCTGTTTGAAAGAATGTGAGTAATTTTTTCACAATTTCACGAAAAACGGACCTTTCACAAAATGTCTGGACAGACCCCTGAGTATAGTTCTCCCAATACAGCTCATACAAGAGAACAGTTTAGTGTTTTTCTTCTTAATATATTACATAAAATATGTACAGGAAAGACACAGGAAATATTTTTTCCATATTTGAGTGGCAACCCTGTTATTATTTTTGAAATGTTTTTTATTTTCCTAGGTTTTTTAAAATAAGGAGATTTCTTGTATAAAATTCTATTTTCTAGATAAATACAGCTCTCCTAATTCTGAGGTTTTGCTTATTTTTGTTTTTATAGCAGACATTTTTCTTACATCATTTAACATTTTTGACTTGAGTGTGCAACATCATAATTTTTTATTACAGTTATTTCCAGTTAATAAGATATTGTGTATTTGAAAAGAAATTGAAAGTAAATCTGACAACTGAAATTGTCTTCAAAACGTCAATGTGAATGAATATTAATTTTCATGAATGACAGAAATAGTATTCAGTGGAAATACAATTTATTTAAAAACGTATAAATTTGTAATTGACATACTCAATTGTGAAAAACAAAAAGTTGAAAGACTGCAAAAAAAGAATAAAGAATAGAATTTAACAAGTGTCTACTCAGACTTAAGTATTCTTCTACAATAGAGTAACGTCATAGTCTTTGTGTGGTCTACCAGAAACAACTTCATTTGAATTCTCTACCCGCTTTATGGATTTTGTTTTATGTTTTATTCTATTTTTTCTTTACATTTTATTTTCTGTTTCTTACATGATATTTATTATTTAATGTGTTCTATTCTGTTTCCTTTCAAAAAACTTTTTAATGCTCCTCACACTAATGTATTGATATATTTGCTTTGGCTATATTGATACAATATTAGAAAGCAATATTAGATAGATACAATATTATGAATATAATCGTGTGAGCTGATGAGATTATATTTTTTTCCCCCTGGATTTTTATTAATTTTGTTAAAAATAATTTCTTCTTCTCTTTTTTTTCATTATTCTTTAGTTTTTACATGTTTTCTCTATATTACATATATATATATATATATGTATAAATGCTCCCCGGCATTAAATGAGCCTACATTGTAAATCGAAATCACAGGGTTACACCGCTGCCAAAAATTGTATTTAATAATTGTTATTTTTCTTTTATAGAATTTCACAAACTACATACTACAGTGACTAGAAATTAAGTATGTTGTATGCGATGATAATTGAAATTTTTACCACTGTTCTTTGAGGGTGCAGTGTTTACAATGGCCGTATAGCCTATATTCTTGAAATTTAAACTTTACATTCAATCTAAAGCATGTAATATTCTTTCTTATCAACTGTAATGTTACAAATTATAAATACAAATTTTTAAAACAATTTTTTATAGTTGTAAGGACATTTACTTTTTAGTTTGCAGTTATCTTTCTTTCATTAACAGTGTGAACCAAGTTTGCTTAGAACTTGTTAATGAAATCTAAAATTTGTTTTGCTTTATTCCCAAGTTAATTAATTAAAAATTTTTTGTTTTACTCAATGTATTTTGAATGCTGTATCTGTATTAAGACATTTAACTATACTTTAAATTTTAATAAAAATACATGACAATTGAATAAAGAATTGTCATATATGTTACTTATCAATGTGATAATCTTTCTTTCCCTTCTTTTTTAGTATAAAAACCACATTCTGTATTTGCTTGAAAATTTTCAAACCATCATAGTTTTAGGAGAAACAGGTTCTGGAAAAAGTACTCAAATTCCTCAAGTATGTTGATATTTATTTCTTTTTCAATGCTATAATTACTAAACATGTTCAGGTTAGCTATTCTGAAAAAAAGCTGAAATTCTCATGGAACTCAAAAATACAACAGGAAAACCAAGAATCTGCAATCAACTGTTCCTGAAATTAGAAATATTATACACAAAACTTTGCCATGAGTGTGTTTTAAACCATTATCACCATTAATAATAATTGTTTTACATAATAAATTAAAATTGTTAATATTACAAACTATATCCTATAAACACTTATCCAATAGTATTATATTGTGGTTTTCTCTCCCTCAATGCTATTTTGTTCTAATTAGTAGGTGTTTCCTTTTTATATAAAATGTCTACATTCTAATTATACTTCCTTGAAGTTTGAAAAACATTTTGTGAATCAACTCATATCTGTCTCAAACCTATATTAAAAATAATAATAATGGAAAAGATTGATAAATGTAATTTATCATTCGATTTTATTCTTGTGATTTGAGCGGGCTATCGGTTTCATTCTAGACTATGGGTCACGTGAATATAGCGGGGGGGAAATGTCCCCCCCTTGTTTTAATACTTATCCCAATTTTTTCCTGTGGATGAAATTTTCACGTATAAACCCTGCCCGCTGAAATAGCAGGTGCCGTATTACATATTTCTTGAAAACGTAAAAACTAATAAAATTCTTGTATTGTTTTAAAACAACTGATGAAGATATGAATTGTAACATATGTAGATAAAGAAAATATTTAAAAAAATCTCCCTGCATTTCAGGACTGGAAAGTATAAAAACTGAGCCATACAGGGAGAGTTATTCTGAATCTTTTATCTATGTAAATTTAAATACCGTAAATTTGTGGTGATACACCCAACCCCCCTGAAATATATGCTGCGCCCACAAAATTGGACTAAAAAGGAAAAGTTTTTCTCCAGGAAGGCCTCGCCGTCAGTCACGCTGCACAAAATTTTACTGTGTGATCAATTGAAAAGTTATTGCATCTGTTACAACCAACAAGTAAATATTTTAAATAAGTGATTAACCGTTTAAAATTCATTAAAATAATTATAAAATATACAATAAACGAATACATGTGGTCTTATTTAAAATCAGAAATTATGTATTTCAATAATTTTCATCATAACTTTTCAAAAGTATGCAAAATTGTATCGTGTACAATTGTGCACAATTCAAATGCAACACAATTGCAAATGCATTACATTAATAAATACTAATTTAAAATACTCGAATTTTATGTTAACTGAGTGATTGAGAACCTTAATATAATTAAAATAAGTTAGAAAGAAATCTTACTACGCGCTAAATTGCACCATAATGCAATCTCATCAGGTCGCTTTATCCTAATTTGATTTGAAATACCTAAATGTTATTAAAACAAATAACTTAACTGCTGAAAATCCTTACAATATTTAAAAAAAGTAATTAAATAAAATAGAATAAATCTTGTTTTACGCTAAGTTATATTAAGCAAAACAATCCCGAACCCATTCCTTATTACTAAATTTAAATTTTAACCTATCAAATGATAAACAGTTAAAAACCTTTATATTAATTTTTAAAAAAATAGATGTAAAAACTAAACAATCTCGTTTTGTGCAAAATTAAAAGATGAAATTATCGTGAATGCTTTATTTAAAAGAAATTTTAAATATCCCAATTGCAAATTAATCAAATAATTAAACAGCTAAAAATTGTTAAAATGAACGTTAAATATAGAATAAATAAAGCAATTCACACATTTCTCTTTTATTCATCATTTTACTTGAACATCTCTAAATTATGAAGAGTAAAAATAATAAAGTTCAGCTGAAACTTGATCTTCAAGCATTTCACCCCACTTTTAGAGAATGACTCTCACTTTTTTTATTCACACCTCCAATAGGAGAATCCATTGACTCTTGTAAGAGATTTATTTGTGGGGAGGAGAATTCGTCTTAGGTTGAAAGGGAGAGCATATGTTGCGGTATTGTTATGTTCTTGCAAACTGTTTTTCACCTGTATTGTAAATTTTTTTTTAATTGATTGTAAATTATAAAAATAAGTCACAAAAAGTGTGAGAGTAATAATAAAATTTTAAAGAATCAATTCAACAAAATAGAATTTTCAATTTCAAGTAATAAAAAAAGAAAAAAGAAAACAGATACGCCACCCCATTAGATATACCACACGTATCATAATTTAATGTTTTAAACCATAAAGCCGCAGCATGTCTCCACAAAATTACAGTAATTTTAGATTTAAAAAATTAACACAGTTTTAATCTTAAAGTTTTCTGCCTTGTTTTATTTAAGAAATTATTTATTTAAATTATATCGCCTCCATTTGTTATTATGTTATGCTTACGAGGCGATGCGTGAGCAGGCTTAATCTTCAAGGATGTTTTACTAATGTGATTCATGTTTAAATTTCCATGTAATTTTACCATTCATAAGAGTTTTCTGTAATCTATAAATTTAACTGGTTGTGAGCCTAAAATAAATTTCAGTAACTTAATATTGCAGCATAAATAAAGTGTAAGGTTTGCCATGTTCTGAGTGTTATCCCTTATTTGGCTATATTTGTGTTAAATAGTACTGTTCTTTGTTTTTGGGTTGCATCTTGCAGTTCTTAGCATGCTTCTTATGTTGTCTGTTTCACTGAAATTTAAATTTAAAATGCACATTATATTGTGAACACTACAAGTGTAATAATGGTCGATGAAGCCTTTTTTCTAGCTTGGGGATAAAAATCAATCAGAAGTAGTAGCCAGGAAGTCTTTCTACGAATATTTACCCATAGCCCTGCAATCTGTGCTTGACTTTATGCGGCGAACCATCCATACACATGCTTGGCTACTTATGAACGTGTTGAAAACATCTATTCATCTATTCTATTCTGATTCATCTATTTCTATTGCATTAGGCTTTCATTTTGTATTAAAAAATCTTAAGAAATTTTTAATTCTGTGTTTCAAAAGTGTAAAATTGCTTATTAAATCCATAACTTAACTTAATTCGGATTGAAAAAGGCTTCTAAAATTGAGACAAAGGGGCATCTATTTTTTAAGTAGAATTATTTATTTTCTTTAAAATTATATATTCAGTTTCTGGAGGCTTAAAGAGTGATAAAAACTGCTTATTTGTAATTTACCTTTTATTTATAATTCTTTCATCTTCCATTCGCATCAGAAATTTTTGTCTGTTTAAACCTCTTCTTTTACACACCTAGCCAATGTATTTTTCATACCATGTCCTAGACAAACTCTTTTTAACTGAAAATGTTTATTTATTGTAAATGAAAGAAGCTTATTTCTTTTAAATCAAATTATGAATTTTAAAAAAGTTTTTTCTTTATTTTTGAACTTAAATAATTTTTTATACCAAAGCATTTATAACATTAATTAATTATTTTATTACTATCATCATATTGATTTTCTATGCTTATAATATTTGTTAGAGACTGCATGTTTGCATGTTTTCAAATTTTCAAACTTTTTCCAGTATATTTTGGAATCTGGATGGTTAGAAAATAATGGAATAGTTGGCATTACACAGCCTAGAAGAGTTGCTGCCATCATGGTAAATACATGTGCCGTGAACATGTTAATTTAAGTATATATTCTAATATTAATTTTGTATTTCAATAAATTGTTACAATGTACAAACTTTTCTTTCTAGTTTTCTAAATTTTTTAAATATATTTTCTCTTAATAAAAAGAAAGACGAAGATTTTACTTTATAAGGTACTAATCAAGTCAGTTTTGACTTATACTTCAGAGACATGGACTTTAACAAAAAGGGAAGAAAAGTTATTAGCAACCTTCGAAAGGAAGGTCCTATGAACCATCTTTGGCGCTTTTCTCGATAACTACAACTGGAGAAAAAGATATAATTTTGAAATATATAAGATCTTTAATAGTGATGATGTCATTAAATCTATTAAACTAAGTAGAATGAGATAGTATAGTGAGAATGAGCCTGAAACGAACAGCATTAAGAGTCTTTAATGCGACCCCCTTCAATAAAAGGCCAAGAGGAAGGCCCCAAAAGAGTAACACTAATTTTTTAAAAATCAATTCTGCAACACTAATTTTTTAAAAATTGTTGTATTTTTCTAATTAAGTCCAAAAGCAAAGTAATTTCTGCACCAAGTATTAAGCGATACTGATATTTGTGAATAACTTTTCCTATAAAATTTATCTACCTACATTTTTTTTTATAAGAAAGAATAGTTTTTCCAAAGTCCTTATAAACTGTCCAGAATTATTTGTTTCGATGCAAGTGAAAAATAATGAACCTAATAAAATAAGTTGGTATTTTTAACCATTTGTCTGATAGCTTGTAAATAAAATAAATTTTGATGAATTGTAAAGTTTTTTTTTTCCAAACCTTTGTGTGTATTTCAAACTTTATCCAAAAAGAAAAAAAAAAACCCAAAAAACTGATCTGAACTAATTTACAGGAACTAAGGGACATTAGAAGAAATGCATAGTTTTTTGACATATAAAATTTGTACTAACTTGAAAATGATAGATAAATTTTTAAAATCTTTATTTTATTTTATTTTTTGTTACAATATTTAAAAAGGTGTTTATTTTAAACTTATGTTGTTTGTAAAGAAAAAGAAAATTATAAATGTTATTGTGTAACGTGCATGATCATGAAATTAGAAATTATAATGCAATAAGATATGTTGTTAAAATGGAGAAAAATGGTTTAACAGTACAATTTACTATTTAATGTATGAAACTCATCATTTAAAAATTGATTTAATGCTTATTTTATACTCAAAGAACTTTTTGTATTTTAAATAATCAAATAGAATTGTTCAATTTAGAGATTCTTTTTCATATAGGGCAAAATTAACAGTTAGCCACAAGGTAACTAGTCTGTGGCTTTTCACTCTTTGGTGTACTAAATTAGAATTAAAATAATTGCCTAATCATCGCCACCAATTTTCTACTGTTTTTGCTCAAAATGCAACACTGCATGCATTTTGTTATTACAGTAGAAAACCAATTATCCGGGATGCTCGGGACCATCGCGATCCCGGATATCTGAATTTCCCGGTTTTCTGGATCGACCAAAAAGTGTCGTTAATCGATGTTTTATCGAACCCGAAGTACAAGGAAAAAGTGTAATGCATAAAGTAAGAGAAAAAAGAAAGGTACTCCTAACTTTAAAAAGAAAAAAAAATGGTAGAAATATAACATTTAAAAGAATAAAAAAATTTGCAAGTTTAGACAAGAAAATCAAGTTTAAAAAATACAAAATTCTCATATTTATTTTTTAAAAATAATTACAATTCCTAAATTAAATAATATAAACAAAACCAATGATTAAATAACGCAATATATTTCATACCTAATTATACGGGGGAAACGATAAAATAAAAGGAAAACTTATTAATCTAAATAAAAACACTTGAAAATTATCGAACCGAAACGATAGTTAAAAAAGGCACTAGCATAAATATTAAAACCCGAAACAAGGCAAGATCAACGGAATTCAAAAAAAAAAAAAAAAAAAACCTAATGATAAAATTTATGAATAAAAAGAATTAATTTATTGAGTGCGAAATTTATCGCGAAAAGAAAAAAAATCAAACGTAGTGGAATCAGAAAAACAAAACTGCAATCTGCTTCATAAAATAATCCTATGTTTAAAATAATAAACAATTCTCCTTTTATTTTATTTTTTTGTTGATAAAAACAAGATTTTTAATTACAGCAGATGTGATTCCACACCAAGAAAAACTTGTAATTGATACCGCACTTCCAAAGAATAAGAATTTATTCAAAAGAAAAAGATTTTATTTTTATTAGTCGATGTCAAATAAATATATTTTTCTCTTTTCTTTTTCTGTTCACTGATACGCATGCAATGCATTTTCCCCACCCCCCTCGTAAATCAAGCAGAAAACGAAATCAGCATGCCACACCCTTGAGTTTGATTGACGGTCTAAAGGAAAAAATAAAACATTCCTCCCTTCCCTGCCTTCAAGGTCACGGAGGAAATGACGTTTCTCTGGGTAAACGGGGAAAAAAATCTTCCCCTTCCTTACATTTTCCTCAACTCAACTTCAAGGATGGGTCCAATTTCCGCTTTTTTCGTTCTAGTTTAAAATGGCGGGAAATTCGAGCAAAATTTTTCTGGTTTCCCGGTTATCTGGATACCGGATAAATGGTTCTCTACTGTACTATTTTTTAAGTAAACATGGAATGATTATGTTTTTTTTAATATTTTGAAGTCTTGCTTCAAAAGAATACCTTACATTATCCATACTACCATTTTTTGTTAATTACAAACAAGTCAATTTTAAGTTGTTATTTGTTTTTTAAACGTGACCATTTGTTTTAAAAGATGACCATTTGTTGATAACAAAATTTCCTACACTCCCTTATTGTTTGTTTTTATCAGTAATCTTATTTTACTCAGGGCTTAAATATCTAATAAAACTTATGTAATTAAGTTATATTAGGTTGACTTATTAATAATTTATAGCAATTCCTGTAACTGATTACAACGTTGAAATAAAACTTATTAAACTATATACATCTAAATTCTATATCTACAATCCAATTAAGTTCCAAATGTATTTTATTTTTACCAAAAATTGTTTTTAGAAAATTAAAATTATAAAAGAATTTTTTATTTCAGAAATTTATTTTTAAAGTTTGTTTAAAATACAAGCTCAATAAATTTTTTTTATTGAAAAAAAAAGCATTATTACTTCATTATTTTGGTTGTACAGTTTATCTATTTGAAAAAGATATAGCTATGTAATGTTTTGTGTTATACCCTGTGTATTTGATAAAATAAATTAAATCACATATGTTTTCTCCCTACATTTTAAGATATATTATTAATTCAACTTCTGGTGCAATTCTTTTAACATACTTTTAAAATGAAAGTTATTCGAGACTCAACAATAATATTAATTTAATAAGTAGTAACTAATTGTATTAATTTAGTGTATTCATTTAATTTTTTCAAGCTTGCTACTCGAGTTGCAGAAGAAAGAAATGTTCAACTTGGCCAACTTGTTGGATACAACATAAGATTTGAAAGTTGTTTTGATGCTACAAAAACAAAGATTAAGGTTGAATGAATGTATTAAATTTTTTAAATGAATGCTAATTTTTTTTTGAGTATATATTGACTTGAGTATATATTAGTATATATTAAATAATTTCTTCCTACTGACTTAGATATGAGTAATTGATTTCATCTTTTCTATATTATAGACATTTTCAATCAAATGTAAAATTGATATGTATGTTAAGTAGGCTCCTGACTATCTGATCTAATCTAACAGAGGAATAGGTTGAATAACAAAAAAGCCAGATAAAATGAACTTCTTCCCTTTTTATGTAATTGAAAATATATATTCTGATACATATGATTAATGCAAAAATTCTTACTGTTTATTAATAAGCTACAGAAATATGAAAGATCATGATTTAAAAGAATCAAGTTTTTTTTTTTTAAAGTTTTAAACATGACTGGTAGAAGGAGCAGGCAATTTATTTCACCTGATTGTCTTCGTTGATTTTAGAAATGATTGGTTCCTAATATTTTACTAGGATGGATGATTGTGAGATGGATAGTTGGAAGATAGTATTTTTTTAATGAAACATTTTTCATGAAGTTTTACAGAAACACTGAAATCAATTGCTATATACAGTCAGACCCTGCTATAGTGAACACAGTTTATAGTGAACTCCCAGATATAGTGAACAAAATGTTCTCCCCTTGCCTTGCTGCACACGTATAATGTTATTTTTTGTGGATATAGTGAACCAAAAAGAGAGAGGAACTTGGATATTATGAAATTTTTTCTGTCTTTGACTGATTTATTTACTTAATTTTTTTGTAATAATTTTGTAATTTCTACTGTAAAATAAATACATATACCGATTTTTAAAACCATCTATAGCATGGAATGTAGCAACAAGCATTTTTTCTTCTTAGCTTCATTATTGAATAGCGCTATTGAATGGGTTCAGCATTCAAAGAAGCTGCAATCTTTCAGTGTCTGTACAAATGCTTCAAGTCAAAAGCCAATGAATTTGCTAAGCAATTGGGTGAGACTAATTTTATCTGCTCGAATGGCTGGGCAGACAGGTTTAAAAAGCGGAATGACATAAATACAGGAAAAATTATGGGAAAGTTCGGGAAGAGAGTTTCCATATCTGAAGTTGAGGATTGCTCATCAGCTAAAAATTACTAATTTCTTTACTATGCAAAACGAAGAGTAAAAAAAAGAAAGTTAACACATTTTTCGTTACTATGTATTATTTTTCAATCATTTTTGTATTTCATTTTATGGGTCATTTATTTTAATAATGTGTAATAAAAAAGGGGGAGATTGGAACTATTAGTTAAAATTGCTTGCAGAACAGATGTAAGTCACGGTTATAGTGAACTAAAATTTTGGTCCCTTGAAGGTTCTCAATAGGGGGGTTTGATTGTATGTATTACATATGTATACATAAGTCTGTATACATGTATGTATACATAAGTCTGAAATGTAGAAAAAACATGAAAAAATTACAGAAATTTTTTTCCATTTTTTCTCTACATTTTGAACTTGTTTTATGAATTCTATTTACTTGCAGCTTATGCGCAGTAAATAAAACTTATTGTTTTTCGTAATCTTTTTCTTTTTGCCCTTTTTGTATTTATTTATTATGATATATATATATAGATAAAANTTGAAGCATACAACTATAAGTAAAAAAAAAGTGATTTTTTAAGTTTCTTCTTTCCTCTTATTGTTGAGAACAATTTATTTCAGTTCATGACTGAAGGTGTTCTTATCAAGGAAATGATGGCTGATCCATTACTGAGGAGTTATTCAGTTCTCATACTGGATGAAGTTCACGAGCGATCACTCAACGGAGACATTATTTTGGGACTTTTAAAAAAAATTATCAGGAGGAGACCTGATCTCAAACTTATTATATCATCTGCAACTATTGAAGCCGAATCAATGTTTAGATTCTTTAACAAAAATGAAACTTCAGATAAGTAAGTAGTAATTTATTTATTGAAATTGTAAAACGGAATCATCCCCAAAATTGTTGGAATTTATTTAAAAATAGGCGATCGCAATGTTCGAATACGCCATCAGGGGAGAAGACAGGTTGGTTCCATGCCTTCTCCTTTTCCTCTCCTCCTCTTTTCAGTTATATAGGAATGTAATACGATATTTTTTCCTTTACTTAATATTTTTCATTTTTAATTAATAGAAATATTTTTTAAAATTTCCATGGCGCTTTCTTTTAGAACTATGTTTAATGTTGTCTTCAGATCCATATAATTTCCTAACTTAAGAGATTTTGATCTATATGAAAATCAAGGCAGACACTTTCTTCTCCTATGACTCACCACACGCTAATGGGGAAAGTGTGCGAAGTGTTGCCATAGATAGAGAGTTCTAATCTACGCAAACTGACCATTTCGATCGCCAATTGCTTTGTGCGGACATGTGGTTTTTCCTCTAATTTTGGCAAATCCTGAAACCGTTGATTCGTGAATCAAAAATTTATATCTTGGCAAATTTTTCCCAGAGTTCCGCTAATCTAAAATTTAAATTTTATGATTTCTGCAAAATCTCGGCAAAATTTTCAAAACTCTAAAATTATTACGACACACAAAATTTGAAGTGCGTATTGATTGCTTTGTCTCTTTTTGATGTGCTGAAACCAGTTTTTTTTCGATCGGCCTTTTTGTTGAGTTACTAGTGATTTTCACATTGTTTTTCAAATCCCGATAAACCCATATATTATCGCGATGTTTCGATATTTTCTTTTTGGAAGTTGTTGTTAACTATCACATAATTTTTTAAAATACCGATATCTCTATATGTTTTATCTGTCCCTGATATATTCCACGGAAAATTCGAATCACTCTTCTGAGCATTAGCGATGATTCTGTCAAAGTTTTGATAACTTTTAATTTTTGCATGGTGTTTAAGATCTTTTTAATGAGATACTATATATTGCAAAACGCGAACCTCGAAACGTACATTTAAGTAGTCATTATTTGATTAATATACATGGTTTCGTTTTTTCCTCCTAAAAAATGCATGTTTTTTTTTCTTTGTATAAAGACAACTTGTTAAAGGAGGGAAAAAAATTCTGTTTAATGTTTCTTTTCAAAATGCAGAAATATCGACCATAAAAATAATATATATTTTTTTATGTGTTGATGGGGAAATAATTTTATTGTTTAAATTTGCTCCTCCTTTTAGCGTTAATTTTTTGTCAAGAATCGCCTATTATTCCTCGTCGATGTACAAAATTGGTTTGCTTAGAAGCTAAACTTTCTAACCGTAGCGTTTTAAGAAACGCCAGATTATATCTTCCAGCAAAAGCATTTGCGGGACTGAAATTAACTGTATGATTTTAATATAAAAGGTGAACAGGATATGTAGTAAATCTTATGGTTGGTTAAATTAGCTTACATGTCTAAATCAGGATGCATAGCATTTTTAAAAAGTGTTTAAAGGTCCTTATTTTTGAGTTACGTCTTTTAAAAGCTCTTAAAGGTGCTTTTTTTCATTGGGTTTTTGTAAAAAGTGCTTAATTTTCTATCTTTTAAAACTAGATTTTTTTCTTTGCCTTGTCAATTTTTCTCATAAATAACAAAAAGAAAGAAAAAAAACATGATCTTGGCAATTTTCTCTGCAATATTTATCAGAAACTAGTTAACATGATAATGTAAAATCTTGACAAAAAGTTTTTTGCATTTTGTTGATTTTGTATACATAAATCAAATTTAAACAATAGGAAGAAATAATTTTTATTGCTGCTCATATCCCGTTTAAGTTTTTTTTAAAGTGATTAAAAATATTTTATGAGTGCTTAAAAAGTGTTTATTTTGTGTTAAGAAATCTTGCTACGTACGCTGTAAATGTATATTCCCATTTTATGAGTTTTGATGCAATTTTCAAGATTGTAGTTTTCTAATTTATGAGTCACAATTCTGATAATTGGTTTTACTTATGCTGTTAAATATTTTGCTTGAAAATAATTTTAAATATTTTTTGAAAAAAGAAGCTAATTAAACAATGTTATCATTTAATCTATATATTTAACTTCTTGAAGTAATTTCACTTTTTAGTATGTATCAAATTTATATTTTTTTTATTTGTTGTAAGTGGAGGATTTATATAAAACTTTACCAATCTAACAAATTTTTTTATGTTTGATAAGAAAGATTTGGTTCCCTTTCAGGTATTAATGTGATGCTTGTGGTCATTTGTGACTCACAATCAGCTTGTAACATGAAAGAGATGAAATCAGATAAGAATGTTACATCTGTGACTTCTTAAGTGATTAGGGAGGCAATTCTAAGAATGGAAGCTCTTGGGTGGTCAGCAGTGAGTCTTCGCTTGTCAGAAAAAAATGGAAAATGACAAAAGATAATAAAATAAGTTTTTTGCATTATTTGAAAAACAATAATAAATGGAGAAACTAAGGTTGAAATTTGAAGGGAAAAAAATCATTTTACAGGGGTTTTATGCTTCAGAGAATGTCGAGAGGAGGATAACATTAATTGATATGAAAATTGGTCGGGACCACGAAACATTATTGTAATAGAGGGAGTTATTTTATTGGATATTGTAGTATAGCGAAAGTTAACTGTACTATTAAATATTATTACATTTCTATTGATTATGTTAATTGTTGATATATATTTTACAGAGAAAAAGATACAGCTGTAATTATTAGTATTGAAGGTCGTACTTATAAGGTGGATATACATTATTCATCAGATCCAGTCCCTGATTATATAAAATCATCTGTTGATACAGTTATGAAGATTCATTTAAATGAACCTCCTGGTGATATATTAGTGTTTTTAACAGGACAGGAAGAAGTTAGACAAACAACAAACATGCTTATGTAAGGATTTGCTATTTAATTTAATTTTTTATTATCCTTCTCACTCATGTTCTACTTTAACTTTTTTCGCTAGGTTTTGTACCTGGGTCACCTCTTTGGGGGGGGGGGTGAACGCTCTGAGCCACCATTATTGTTAATTTGTAAACAACTGTTACAAAGTAACAATAATGGAATTTACTTTAGATATTATTTAAGAAATAATTGCCATGGCAGATAAATGTATCTGCCATGGCAATTATTTCTTAAATAATATCTAAAGTAAATTCCATTATTATTACTTTGTAACAGTTGTTTGAATTTTGTTTCACTATAATTCGCATGATTTTATATAATTACCTAACAAATTTTATTTTAGTTTACTGTCTTATATTCAAATTATTAATTCCATTATAAGATTGTATATTCAAAACTGTCATAATATTTTCTAGAGATATTGCGACGGATCTGAAAAGTAATAAGGAGGCTATGAAGTTCTTTGTAGTTCCACTCTATGGTACTTTACCCATGTCTGAACAGGTATTCATTTTTTGTTTTATAAAATGTTTCAGAGGGGAACACCATTGGTATGTTTCTTAAACTAGAGAGGTCCCATTGAAAGAAAGAAAAAAACATCATATTTATTTTAAAAAATATATATAAGTATAAATCTGGAGTCCTAGGGGCAAGAACATTTTAAAAAAGTCCAGCAACTGTTCTAAAAAAGCCCCCTAAGTTGGTTAACATTTAATTTTGAAAAAAAAAAATATGTATCTCCAACTTATTTATGTGCTTATGTTTTTTTTTTTTTTTTGGAATGTTATTTCCATTTAAATGTTTGACACTCATTACTGCAAGTTTGATGCAACTTGATTTATTGGTAAGAACACGTGGTGTCATTTGTAAATTAAATTATTTTGTTATTTACATAGTGTCTTATTATCTAGCAAAAGAAAAAAATTTTCTTTTTATTATTCCAGTGTGTTGTAGATATTAACCGTTTCCCTGATTATTACGAGTTAACTCGGGTGTATATATGCATTGCAAATATTTATTATCTCGAGAAAACTCGTTTGTAGCAGAATTTGTCAGTTCGTTTTGTTTTATCACGTTTTTACGCAGCTGGAAGCAAAAAGCAAAACAAAGACATAATATGCTGTGATGGGAAGTTTGCTAAGGTTTGTTTGGGAGTTAAGTTGTTAGAATGTGGGACTGCACATGTGTTATGTGCAATGGTGACTGAATTTACATTAAGAAAATAGTAAATAAAAATGGCGTATCAGTTCACTGACGTTTGAAATGTATCACTTTGTGTTGTCCCTTGTTTTAAAAACTAACTTACAAAGACTAATATTTAACTTTTTATCATTTGCAGAGTTAACTTGGGATAGTAAACTGATGGTAAATTAAATGCTTTTTTAGCATAAAAAAATTAAAAAATTCAACTTTAAACTTGTGTATTATGTTTTGCTTTAGTTCCATGTTTAATGAAATAAAAAACTATGTTAATTTTTTGCATTTTTATTCAAAAATATTGATAAGAGAAGCGGTTAAACAATAGGAACTGCTTTAATGAAGAATTAAATTCAACAAATAATGAAAATATTTTATTTCGGAAATATGGAGAGCTCCAAAGTAAAAAATGATTCATTTTTGTATACATTTAGAAAAGGAGTGTGTGGCTGCAGGGCTTAGCCCCACAGCACATCTGCGTCCAACAAGAAATGTGAGTGTCGTGTGTAGTTTTCTCTAAGGAAAGTTAACGAATCCATGTACTGGAAATTAATTGATTAAATTTACATGCCTCCCAAGTCTCCTGTTTTTTTAACAAAGTATATTCTCAAATTTCTCTGTACTTGTTGAAGAATTTAGAAGAAAAAGAAAAATTTATCTATAAAATATCCGCTGATGGCAAAAATACTTCTCTTATTCCTCAACAGATGGGGCTATTGCCAGTACTGCAGTATGTTGAGTGGTGGCTTGGGGATAGAGCTTTCGTCTTCCAATGAGGTGAACCGGATTCAAATTCCAGCGATTGCTGGTCGATACGAATTCCACACCCAGATGGCCCCGACCACATTGCTGACGTGAAATATCTTCTGTGGTAGACGGATGTGGTTTGAGTTCCCTTGCCGTCAGGCTAACTGTGGAAGGTTCACGTGGTTTTCCTTTCCATATAAGGCAGATGCGGGTTAATTACATCTAAAAATCCTTCATGAAGGCCAATTTCTCCCAATACTTGATCCAGAAGTTCCCTTGTCTTCTGAATTGGGTTCAAAATTACAAGGCTATGGAGTTGAACATTAATTGTCATAAACTCTAAATTGAGTCGGCTGTTCAACGACGGTTATAAAATAAAATAGTTTAAGTGATTATAAATAATGGTTTTAAAAAATCTTCTTTAGATTAAGATTTATATACATATTTTTTACTTCACTAAATGTAAGTGCTTATATTATTTTCAATTTTCACTTACATGATTATGCATGATGTATCAAAACTTTACTCATAGCGTGATAAACGTGGCTAGTAAAACCTCCGTTGTTTCATTTCCCCAATGTTGGCAGGTATGAATTGAATGACAATGGATTTTTATGTTTTTTTGGATTTTATGTTCCAGAAGCATATAGATGGCAGCACCTTTTTAAAATTTTTACTCATTGAATGTTTATCTGTTTTATTTTTTCAAGATTTTCGAAACAGGGGTCAGCACTTGATTTATATCTAAAGTTTTCTTAATGATTTGGCAATTTATATTTCATTTTGATGTGGCTATTCTAACTGTAACTTTATCTTTATTTATTTTTCTTATTTGGGGAGTTTCTTTATTATGTCTTAGTTTGTGTACTTCTACTCATTATTTAGACTTACCCACTTTGTTTTTATTTGTCATTTATTTTTCTTTGTATTTGCATTTCAATTTTTATAATTGTTTTTTCTTATTTGTTTCTCCATTATGGGACCTCAGGGCACTGTCAGTTTTTGGTTTCACCACTGATAACAGAAAGGCTCCTATGTGTGTTAACAGGCAATGTGTCTCCNAAAATATCCGCTGATGGCAAAAATACCTCTCTTATTCCTCAACAGATGGGGCTATTGCCAGTACTGCAGTATGTTGAGTGGTGGCTTGGGGATAGAGCGTTCGTCTTCCAATGAGGTGAACCGGGTTCAAATTCCAGCGATTGCTGGTCGATACGAATTCCACACCCAGATGGCCCCGACCACATTGCTGACGTGAAATATCTTCTGTGGTAGACGGATCATGGGCTAGAGTTCCCTTGCCCTCAGGCTAACTGCGGGAGGTTCTCGTGATTTTCCTTTCCATATAACGCAGATGCGGGATAATTACATCTAAAAGTCCTCCATGAAGGCAAATTTCTCCCAATACTTGATCCAGAAGTTCCCTTGTCTTCTGAATTGGGTTCAAAATTACAAGGCTATGGAGGTGAACATTAATTGTCATAAACTCAAAATTGAGTCGGCTGTTCAACGACGGTTATAAAATAAAATAGTTTAAGTGATTATAAATAATGGTTTTAAAAAATCTTCTTTAGATTAAGATTTATATACATATTTTTTACTTCACTAAATGTAAGTGCTTATATTATTTTCAATTTTGACTTACATGATTATGCATGATGTATCAAAACTTTACTCATAGCCTGATAAACGTGGCTAGTAAAATCTCCGTTGTTTCATTTCCCCAATGTTGGCAGGTATGAATTGAATGACAATGGATTTTTATGCTTTTTTGGATTTTATGTTCCAGAAGCATATAGATGGCAGCACCTTTTTAAAATTTTTACTCATTGAATGTTTATCTGTTTTATTTTTTCAAGATTTTCGAAAAAGGGGTCAGCACTTGATTTATATCTAAAGTTTTCTTAATGATTTGGTAATTTATATTTCATTTTGATGTGGCTATTCTAGTTGTAACTTTATCTTTATTTATTTTTCTTATTTGGGGAGTCTCTTTATTATGTCTTAGTTTGTGTATTTCTACTCATTATTTAAACTTACCCACTTTGTCTTTATTTGTCATTTATTTTTCTTTGTATTTACATTTTAATTTTTGTAATTGTTTTTTCTTATTTGTTTTTCCATTATGGGACCTGAGGGCACTGTCAGTTTTTGGTTTCACCCCTGACAACAGAAAGGCTCCTATCTGTGTGTTAATAGGCAGTGTTTCCCCTGCTGTCCTGCTAACACACATATCTTATATTTTTATAATTTTTGTTGTTTTCTGCTTAAATTGTTTTTCTGACTTTATAAATTAAAATAAAACAAATTTGGATTTAGCTGTTTTAAGCTCTTTTCTATTTTGATTTATTATTTTAACTGTTAATTACTTTTTTTTGTCTTTTTCTGAATTAGTTTCATTCTTTGATTAGATTTAATGACTGTTTTTCTTAGCTTTACACATTCAAATGTGTTGGTGGAAAGAAAAGCAAATTGCAATGAATTCAAAAATGGTTTTTGAATTCTATGCTGATGTGTTAGGCTGGAATCTCTAAAAATAGATTTCATTCTGCGCTCAATTCAAGGTTGTGGTATAANTTCTTCTCCTATTTAAATAACAATATAACCTTTTTATAATCAGTGGTGTTAAAAATTTTGGTTGCTGTACTGTTGTTAAGTAATACTGAATATTATTTTTACATTTTGTCAGAGTTTTGATCATTAAATGAGAAAAAAATTTTACAAAAAATCTGATCGCAAAAAAAACAAAAAAAAGACAATGCTTAGGATATATATATATTTAAATAAAACATGATATTTTGATCAACTCTGATGAAATGCTTCAATGTTTCGCCTATGGCTGCTAAAACCCTAAGCACGCTCCTGACAAGACAAAAGTCTGTCTAGGTTTTCCTGAGAGGTACCTATTTTATGGAAATATAGACAATTTGTGAAAATTAAAAATTATGTTAAAAAATCAACATAAAAGTCACCAGAAATAAAAATCATTTAATGACTGGAAAATTTTTATATATTTTTCCCGATTTACTCAAAAGTAATTTTGCAATTGTAAAATTTTTGGGTTAAAATTATTTCCAAATTTAAAAATCCATAAAAATCACTGCCCATAGTTAAATTTTAACTTGAATTTTTGAAGAGAAAAAAACAACATGCATTTAACAGAACTTGCACCAAAAATTCTTTTCATTCTGAGAACATTTCCTACTGGGTCATATAGAAAAAAGTTTCACGGTGGAAAAATTTTTTCGTTTCTCGCGGTGTTACATAAACAAAATTTTAAGAGGCGGGGAGGAAAATCTTAGAACTTGCTTTTTTAAAAGCATTTTGTGAAACTACCTTTTTTTTCTAAAGTTGAATTTGTGAAAGTACCACTAAATGGTAGTAAATTTGACCTGAACAGACTTCTGCAAGGGGAGGTGAAATGTGGCATTTGGTGACAAATGGGTGGTCAAAAATATTGAACAAATGTGTGACATCAGTTATGGATGATCCCTAAGACCCGATTTGGAGACTTCCTTTCCTGTACTCATAACGTTTAATTTATTACTGAAAGAAATATGTTTCTACTGATTATTTTATATTTACCTTTATGCATATTTCAGGTGAAAGCATTTAAACCCACTTCTCGAGGCGTGAGAAAAATTGTTGTCTCGACTAACATTGCTGAAGCATCTGTGACAATTAGTGGCATAACATACAGTAGGTTTTTTTTTTCAAAAAATTATTTTTTGTTTGTATTGAACTTTTTTATGTAAGTTTTGTTTTTACCTATTTTGAAAAATTTCATTCTTATTCAAGTTGTAGACTGTTGCTTTGTGAAGTTAAAGTGCTATAACCCTAACTCCTGTACAGACTCCTTAGCTATAGTTCCTATTTCTCAGGCATCTGCCAACCAGAGAGCCGGGCGTGCTGGCCGTGTAATGTCTGGAAAAGCATACAGACTATGTACAGGTATGACCACAGGTTACTTATTCTAGAGCGCCACTTTTCTTCAGGGCATGTTTTTGGCAATTCCCCTTTCTCTCCAGAAATAAACAATTCTCCTTAAGAACTTCCCTGATTATCCCGAGTTATATATATATATTGCAACTATTTATTATTCCGAGGAAAATCTGGCAGAATTTGTCATTATGTGTTATTTTATTACGTTTTTATACGGCTGGAAGCAAATAGTAATAATAATCTGCTGTGATAGGATTGCCAAATTTTGTTTGGGAGTATTGATGTTTTGTGTGATATGAGGGTTGCTGAATTTACATAGCAATAAGAGTAAAAAATAATGCCCTATTCCTTCACTAACGTTTGAAATGTATCACTTTGCGTTGTCCCTTGTATCATACAAAGACTTATATTTAACTTTTTCATTTGTCCGAGACTACTCGGGATATTAAACTAATGGTAAACTAAATGTTTTTGCACATAAAAAAAATTGAAATTTCAACTTAAAACTTCTGTATTATGTTTTGTTTTAGTTCCTAGCATTTAGTTATAAAATAAAAAAAACGTGTTGACTTTTTGCATTTTTTTTCAAACAAATTGGTAAAGAAAGTGGTTAAGCAATTCGACAACATCCCATGCTTTTTTTCCCCTTTTTTTTCCTTTCTTATCGATTTGACTTTTATTGTGGTAATCTGATTTTAGGATTAAATTCAAATAAACAATATAATTTTGTGAAAAATAAAATGTATGTTTCAATTCATTTTATGAAATTTTGAGCAGAATATACTTTAAGAATCTTTTTTTTTTATGATTAAAACTCATGAATTCTTAGGGGAAAAAATGCGAACATTTTCTTGCCCCAGAATAATTTTTTTCTTTCAAATTTGAAATTTTTCTAAAATTGTTAGTTATATTTTATGAGAAAGTTATGATATAATTGTTTTAATGTCTTTTGTAACCATGCCCCTACCCCCTCCTTCCCCTATCAGCAAAAATAAGCAAATAACAAACCCTCCCCATTTCTGGTGCTTACGTAATATTTGATTGGCCCCTTTTTATTAAATTAGTTGCTTATAGATTAGTAGATAATATTTTTTTTAAAATAAACATTTCAATGCGATTTGTGCATTGAAACTATTCAAAATCTTAGTGTTTTTTTTTCTTTCTGAAAGCTTTGCTTAGGTTAAATTAACTTATACACTTCCTGAAATGAGAGAAATGTTTTATAAATTTACAATTTGTCATGAAACTCAAAGAAAATAAATTTTCTTTCCAAACCTAGAAAATTTTTTCATAGTCATTTTTCTTTCTTGTTTTATTGTAAAGTCTAAGTTAAAGGCAACACTATTTTCACTTCAGTTTTGTTTGATTCCCTTTTTTCTCAAATGTCACGTTTTGTACTTTTTAAATTTATTTGTGTTGATATTATGAACTTTCCACATATTCATCCAATTAGAGTTTATGAACATGGTTAAACATAAGTATTTTTAATTTCATCCCAGAGGATTATTTTCAAATTTCTTTCTGGCTGAAGTGATCGTGAAATGGAGAAATAGTTATTTCTAAAATAAAATTGTATTGAAAATTTTAAATTTTTCATGCTTTCAACGCATTATTTATCTAATTTTCCTTATTATTAAATGTGAAGTTACACGGATCCTAAATTTGTTTATTTTCAAATTTTGATTTTGACCTTTATTAACTAAATTCAAGCTGTAATGTCAAGATCTAAAGCTCATTTGAACACAAACAGAATAAATATATTTATTATTTCATGTTGGATTTAAATAATATACTGTTAATTCTAGATTACTCACAAATTGTTAATTGAATTCAAGATGCAATGTCAAGCTCTTTTGAACACAAAACAACAAATACTTTTATTATACATGTTGTACTTAAATAATATACTTTTAATTCAAGATTATTCACAAATTGTTTATGTGCTTTATGCTCAATCTGTTTTTTGTCGTATTTTCCCCCCCGACCATCACGAGTAATATGGTATTAAAAGAAAATCTGCAAAAAGTTAATAAAATTTTCAATTGGGTCTACATTCAAACTTTGTAGATTAATGTGCAATACTTATGTGAAAGGAAATATAAATTTAAATAAATATGCACAATTTACAGTTGCAAATATAATTGCATAAAATAGATAGCTATGTGGTACAAGGGAACAGATGAATTTCTTCTCCTATTTCAAATGGATGACATTTTATGATGAGCGAAAATCAAACATCATCTTCTCTTTTTGGATGTTTCTATTGCAAACTTATATGATTCCCATCAGTTTGTTTCTGATCATAAACTTAGTTTGCTAGAAAATTTTTTTTGAAAAAAAAAAATGATATTTTGTCAAATAACGAAACATTTTAGCTCTTTCTGCATCTTTGGTTATTTTACTTTGCTTGTCTTAAATTTTCTTATCAATGGTTTTCACGCCTCCTCATTTCAGGGATACTAAGAAAGTTTACTCTTTATAACTTTTCAAGTTGGTTTTTGTTTGAAAGTTATTACGATAATTTTTAATGTTATTTTGATTTGTTCAAAAAACTGACAAAAACTGCAGATTTTAAAATTAACTCAATAGTGTTTTTTATTTAATTTTTTTCCTAATATATATGTCACCATGAGTGGCTAAAATCTGGAGAATGTCGATTTTCACCTGTGAAAGTGACCAATCATATAGTCTCTTTCTCGCTGGTTCGAAATATATGCTGGATATAATTCGTTATTAGTTTGATGATTACACTAGCCCAGTGTCCCCTACACCAATTTTTTTTAAAGCTCAAGTCAGGGATCTGTTTCAAGGAAATTTGGGTCCGTTAACAGAGTCTTCAGAAAATAGCTTTTCATAAAAACGGACCTTTCACGAAATATTTTAACTTAAAAACGGACCCTTCACAAAATAATTTATCTTTTAATCGGGCCCTTCGCAAATTTGTTTATCTTCATTATTGTATTGCTAATCGAATAAACCCTTCCCTGGAAGCAGGGGAAAGAAAGACAGATGTAAACAAACTAAATTTTGTCTTCGGCAGATTCTTCTTCTTTTATTCGTCCGAAATGAATATTCTGCGTTCAGCAGTATAATAGGCTAAATACCAAATATGTGTATGTTGCATCTCTAATTTAGTAGCAGCCATTGCTGTTTATTTTTTAAAATTTAATTTTTTTATCTATAATTTTACAGTGTTGAACGTAATCTTGTATGTCTTTACAATTTAAAAACTCCTTGAAAAAGTTTTTTGCAATAACAGGACGCTATTGGCACAAATTCACGAACTACGAGTAATTTTTTCACAATTTTACAAAAAAGGACCTTTCACAAAATGTCTGGACAGACCCCTGGGTCACGTGCCATTGCCCCATATATATTAGCTCGGCATTCCAAACACTCATGTTTTTCTTAATCCTTTAATAAAATATCAAATAAACATTAAAATATCAATGAATAAATTAATATCAAATAGGACATAACAAATATTCTTCCCCAACCTACTATGTGATTGTTGACTTTCACTAGATTTCGGTCATTCATTATAAGAAATGTTTATTATTTGACTTTGAGCAGTAGAATTAACGGATAACAAACAATGTTAATCACTATAACAAATAGGGTCATTCATGGTGAGAAATGCTTATTATTTGACTTTGAGCAGTAGAATTAACGAATAACAAACAATAATGTTAATTACTAGTATAACAAATAGGGTCATTCATAGTAAGAAATGTTTATTATTTGACTTTGAGCAGTAGAATTAACGGATAACAAACAATAATATTAATAACTATAACAAATAGCGTCATTCACGGTAAAAAATGTTTATTATTTGGTTTTAAACAGTAGAATTAGGGGATAACAAACAGTGATTATAATGAAACCCAATTTTACGCATCAAATTTTTTTTTTTAAAAACTTTTTTTTAAATTTTTTTTTATTGAATTTATTAGATAAGTAAAGCCATTTTAAGCAGAATATTTTCTTATGGTAACCTGTAATTGTACTCAGAGAGGAAATATAATATATTTTTATCTTCGAAATAATATAAAAAATGATATATTAATATATTCGAAACAAAATCTAAAAACTTTCATTTCATTTTTATTAAAACTTGTTACGAAGAAAAATAGCTTAAAATTATAAAAAGTTTAATTTATTGCAGCAGCATTATATTTTCTCATGATAGTTAGTGCATGGTAATAAAACAAAAATGCTTTATTTTTGAGTTTTATTTTGATCAAAGTTTTGTATATTATATGTATAATTTTGTTTTGCAGAAGAAGATTTTTTAAAATTGCCAAAATTTTCTGTACCTGAAATGCAAAGAAGTAATTTGGCTCCTGTTATACTTCAACTCAAAGCATTAGGAATTGAAAATATTTTACATTTTAATTTTCCTTCTGTAAGTAAAAATTGATCATTCTCTATTATTTTTAAATTAAAGTAAATTTTACCATCAAAGTATATTCTGCAGAAACTAAATTTTAAATATGCGACTTTTTTCAAAAATTTGTTAACTCAGAAACTATTCAACTGATTGCACTCAAATTTTTTGTCATTTAAAATTTCACTCTTTAAAATGGTGTAAAAAAAATCATACATTACAATTTTAGTTTTTTTTTTTACCATTATTAAATAAAATGTTAAAAATTAATAAATAATTATTAAAAATCAGGGTTTTTGCTTGGAATTATCTTTTGGGTAAATGAATTTTGTGTTAAAATTTTTTGAATTCGCTTAAAGAATTCTTGTAATATAGCAAAATATGCAAAAAGTAAAATTAAGGAGCCTAAACTTTCTCCCAACCAAGTCTATGTAGACTATATTTCCCAGATTGTGGCTAACCTCCATATTTTGAGGGTCAGGAATCCAAATTCGTTTATATAAATGTATGTTAGTTCAGAGAAAGTACGTTTTTGTGTCTGATTTTGTAACTTAAAATATCATCTGTACTAATTAATAAGCGATATTACACGTTAGACGTGTCTCAGCTTCTGATTTTCTCTTAAGAACATGGTGTATAGCGTTTTCAAAACGTTCTTAAAGGTGCTATTTTCGTTATTTGAAAGCCCTTAAAGGTGCTTTTTTCATTGACTGTTTTTAAAAAGTGCTTAATTTTCCCTTTTTGAAAATAAGATTTTTTTTTCCGTTACCACATCGATTTTCTCCACATATTATGCAAAAGTGTGGTTTTCACATTGTTCTATTCAACGTTTTCAATTATTCATTTCGGCATGCCGTCGATCCATAGCGTATGAAAGCGCCAATCATTTTACATGTTCGATGAAATATTTGCGAGTCTGTATGTGCGTCTACTGAGCTGGGTTCAGTGAGATTATCGCCTTCTCATGTGCAGCTCTGCTGCATTTTGCAAGATATTCTCAATTTCAGATTTAATTTTTCACCCTCTGATATCAAACTGAAAAATCTCTCGATCATTTTATAACGGCTAATATAATCAAGAAAAATAGTTCTTTGTCAGAAACTAGTTATTTACTAATGATCATCTAAAGTCTTTGAAAATTATTTTGCATTTTGTTAATGTATATAGTACTTAAAAATATTTTTGAGTGCTTAAAAATACTGAAAAGGTGCTTATTTTTTGCTGAAGGATTTGGCTATGTACCCTGAAGAATATAGAGTTAGAAAAATATTTTACTCGTGATGCAAACCACTACATTTGGTTCAACTATGTTTCAACTACTTAAATTTATATTAATGATATTGCAACTGCAATTATTTTAAAAAAAGGATGTCCCCTAATCAGTATTATTTTTTTCTGTAGTATTTCTAGTTGATCTATCTAAATTAAATTTTTTCGTAGGTTGTCTCATTAAATCAACTATCTTTCATGGTTGAATTATTAACCGTTAGTAAAACTATTACCACTCTTAAACTATTATACCGATTACGCTTAAATTTTGTATTGCGTCATCGAATATTACAATCCTTATAGTGTTGTAAACAATTACCTACCTTACAATTCAAACTTTTATCCAAATGTTTTTAAATAAAGTAATAAAAGTTACTAAAAAGTTATTACAAATTATTTTTTGCAAGGAATTATATTTAAATAAACAAATTCTATTATTGTGGGCAAAAATGTTTCAATTCGCTTAAAGAGTTGTGACAGGCCGATATGTATGCAAAAATTAAAATTTAGGTTACACTAGCTCCAATGAGACAACTGAGCCCCAACTGTTGAAAAATTATTTTTATTATTATGGTCTTTTGTATTTTCATATGGAAACTTTTACTTTAAAAAAAAGTAGAGATTTTAAATACGAATCTTTTTTAATCCTTTCATATGGTTTTAGTAGTTGCACATGAGTTACTGTAAAAACTGTATAACTTTTTAACTTAGCTAACATTTAATTGTACAATCTGTTCTTATAAACATGTTATTTGTCCAAAAAATACCTTCTTTGTCTTATACAAGCCACTTGTCTACAGGTCTTTTTTGGGCCACTTTGAACACAGTTTTCATTTTGGCAAAGTAGCTGCTCAGATTGCTGCAGACTTTGAAGTAAATGTAAACCAAAAAAAACTTTTTTAAGCAGCTCTGTTTTTTGCTAAATTTTTGTTTAAAGGAAATATTACATTTAGTTATTACTTTTTTAACGAATTAAATCCTTTTATAAAAGAATTTTTTTTAGAATGCATTCATTTATCACCACATTTTGATCATTTCTCTTTAATCTTTTCATTTTAAAATTACCCATATGAAAGACTTAATGTAAAAAGTGTGTACGAGAAAGCAAGCAAGAAGAGTTACTTTGATTTAATTTTTTTTTAAATGCTCTCATTTTTTTAAGAGATGTTAAAACTAAAAATAAATGCATCACTCATTTTCCAAACACACACTTTTGTGACAAGAAACAATCACTTATATTTTATTGGCCTAAATTTCATAAAAATGTGAGCAAAAGTAGTTTGTTAATTATTAGACATCTTTTTTAAATTGTAGGCACCACCTTCCAAACATGTGATTAGTGCTATTGAACTTTTATACGCTTTAAAAGGTTTGTGTGCATTATTTACTCTTTTTTCAAAAATTCTTTGACACATATCTTATTTTAGTGATATTATTGCAAATAATTTTCAGCCTTAGATGAAAATGGAATTCTAACTTCTCCATTGGGTACCCAAATGGCTGAATTTCCCATTCATCCTATGTTTTCAAAACTACTTCTCATATCAGGTAATTTTTTTTTTATTAAAAATAAATGAAACCTTAAATGCATTTTCGTGTAAAACATTTTTGATTTATTTCTATTGAAATTGTTTTGCTGAAATAGGCATATCCTATCATTCAATAATTTATCTAATTTTTTTCTCAACAAAAAATAATAATTATCAGGGACTGTCAAAAGTTGTAAAATTTTAGGAGCAAGAAAAATTCTTAGTAGCCAGTAGTTGTCACTTTTGATTGCTTTTAGTCCATCTGCATGAGAGATTTTTATATTTTGATTTTCATTGTCACTGTCTTCACCAGATTCAGTTTCATTATCGACTATCACTTCATCGGTAACCTCGTGTTGTCTGTCGGATTGTTCTCTTGAGTGTTTGGAAAATAAAACGTAAATTTTTTTTTCGGTGTTAGTTTTAAAAATAAAAAATAAACCAAAGCAAAAAAAATCCTTTAAATATTTTATAGTTCGATTCAAGCGGAAACTCGAAACTTTACTGTACTTTGCTACTTGAAGTTTTTTCATGTGCCGTACTAGGACAGATTTAACATTAGATTGAAAACTCTTAATTTTTGTTGAATTTGTTATGGTTTCGTTTTTACCAGAATTTATCAAGAATTACGTAACAGACATCTCAACTGCATCAGTTCTTCCTTTGTTGTTAATTATATTTCCAAGATACCTTTTTTTCCCTTCTAGTTTGTTATTTCAAGGAATATGTCATTTAATTGTTTTAGATTAACTTTCAAATCATACTTGCATATTTTTTAGTAATATGTATGTCTTTTCACAGTTAAAGAGTTCCTTTAAAAACTCTTCATTCCAAGAATGCATATATTTATTTACTTTTTATTTACTGACGAATGTTATTCATTATAATAATTTTGTTTTATCTGAGTGGATAACTCAGAGATTTAGAGATAAAGCTTTTTTTTAAAAAAAATAGTTTATAGAAATATAAAATGGAAGAGATTTGTAATTTCGTTCATTGTTGCCTAAAAAACATTTGCTCTAAATTTTGAATCTTTTTTAGGTGAATATCATTGTATTGAGGAGGCTCTTACTATTACAGCTATGCTTCAAGTGCAAAATATTTTTGTGTTTGTTCCCAGTAGAATGCTAGAACTGGTAAGATCTTTAACAGTTCATATTGTTTTATAATGAAAATATTTCTAAGTATAGTTACCGCAAAAAATAGTACAGTACAGCAAAAAATAGTACAAAACTATTCATGGAAAAAGGAGAATTGCTGTCATCTGCTACTATTTGCATAATTTTTTACGTTATTAATTAATAAACAGTTTTGCATTAATCATGTGTTTATATGAAAAAGTTGTACTATCCAGCTTCCGTCGAACACACAGCCTATTGCAGTGGATCTATTACAGTGATTCTCAACCTCTTTTTTGCTGCGGCACACTTTTAACGATTTCGAAATTTGACGGCACACAATGCAAAGAATTAGTTTAAAAGTTGTTTACTTACCTATAACACACTGTGTTAAATAGTTTGTGATAATAATTTTGAATGTGAAATAAAATAATATGTTCTACAAAAGCACGTTTATTAAGAGATTAATTATTTCTTTCGACTAATTTTTTATTAATTAGTAGCAGTCATTTTTTTTTGCTAGTTATTGATTGTTAGCTTGTTTTCCATTGTTATCAACTGTTAGTTTTTACACTAATTATTATTTTTTGTGATTTCTTGTTAATTAGTTTTATTTCTAATTATTAATTGTTAGCTTATTTCTTGTTAGTTATCCTTTGCTAATTTGTTTTGTTAGAATTATAAATTGCATAGCTTACTTTAATGATTAGCTTTTATTTCCGTTTGAAAGTTAATACTCAGCTTGCTTGCTTTTGTTAATTAATAATTTTAATAGTCATTAAGTTTTCTACTTATTTCAAAATTTTTTGTCAAAGACAATTTAAACTCTTCCTTCTTATTTTAAGATTGTCAGAGACAAGACAATCGCCGACAAAGATGTTCA